CCCCTTCCCACCCCCACCCCCCCTTGCTTGCAGGTGGCCGTCCTGGCCCTGGACGCAGCTGACGTGTCCACCACCTCACCAGCCACACTGCTGGGCCCCGCCGAGGCCGCCAAGCGCCTGCTGGAGGTGCGCAAGGGGGTGGGGCTGCTGAACGCGCATGCTTGTGTGTGGGTCGGTACGTGTGTGAGCGCGTTTGAGCATCTGTGCTGTGGTTTGTGGGACTTTCTTCTGTGTGAGCATTTGAGTGAATCTGCGTGTTGGTTAGTGCGTGGGTCTGCCTGTGCCTGTGTGAGTGTGTGCGCACGCGTGCGCGCCTGCAAGGCGCTGCTTGCGGCAGGCTCCGCTTTGTCTGGCATGACTCACATACGTAACCGCACCATTTTGTGGCACCGCCTCCCAACCCGGGACAGCTGCGGCCCACCACCCAGGTGTGTCTTACCACTCGCATCACTCACCGCTTCCCTCCCCCCTTCAACATCAACAGGCCCGCGGCTACAAGGTCGCCACTGTGCTGCAGCCCGCGTTTGCCACCCTCAAGGACGACAAGGCGCGCGCCACGGCCGTCCTGGCCGCCATCAAGGCCGCCGCCCCCGGCAACTCCAAGGTGCGGCAGAATGGTGTTGCCGCCTGGCTGCCTGCCACACTAATGCGCGCCCTCCCGCCTGGCGAGGCGCTGTGTCGTGTGGCCCGCTTCGTCAACACCGCGGATGCGACCTCATGGCGCCTCGCCGCCCTGCCGTCCTTCCCTGTCCTTGCCGCCGCTCTAGCCCGCGACAGGCACCCTTTGCCCTCAGCACGCCTTTGGCATCCCACTAATCAATCGCAGGTGTCTCAGCTTGAGAAGCAGCTGGCGGCGCCCTTTGATCCTTACGCCGAGTAGAAGGCGCTGCGCCGCACACAGCAGGGCGCGGCTACGCCAAGGGGCCGAGTGCGTTTGGGGGCGTTCGCCCTTTCGCAGCGTCGCGCCGCGCAGGGCAGCGGGGCCCATGGCTTAAAACAGCTTGATCGGAATTGGGCGGGCGGTGTCCGCCGCCATGCATGTTTGGGTTGGTCCGTCTTTTGGTGGGCTTGGGGTCGGCGCGGTGCCACGTTCTCACCCCACGGGCGGCGAAGAACGTATCGCTTCATCTAGCAGCGTTGGTTGTCTCCCTGTGTAACCCGTGCGGTCACCGTGTGCACCCCGCGCGGGCGTGGGTGCTGCTGGCCGAGGGATCGCGGCACGAGCTGCAGGTGCATGTCCCTGAAAGGATGCAGGGGCATGCGGTCTCTGAAGGGATGTGGGGCCACACGTGCAGCCGCATCTGCAGGGAGAGTGCCCTGAGTAGCAGCTCTGGCTGCCAGCCTGCCAATGGGTGGCAGCCGCGTATGGGTGTGGTTTGCTTTGTCAAATCATCACTTGTGAGGCAGTTGAGTAGCCAGCAGCACGTACATATACGGATGATGTTTTGCACTGCAGTTGACCGGGGGTATTTTAGACGGCGGTTTTTGACCAGGGCCCGGTGCATGTTGGACATACGCGTAGCTAGCATAAGTCGAAAGTTGTGATAGTATGTTGTTCAATCATGGCGTTCACGAGCAGAGCGAGGCGTGATCCAGCGTTTGCGAACCTCGTCACCCCGGACAAGGTACGTATGACGAGTGATGCGAATCGCACATGTACGTATCGGAGAAGATAAAAAATTTGACTGCAGTCACACCCGCACTGCCGTGCGATGGTCTGCGCCGAACATGCTGTTGTGCCCCAGTCGAAGCGCTGCGCGCGCTTGCATGGCGCACCCGTGAAGCTTGCACGGTTGCGCACCCTGCCAATCGTCCCATCTGCCGCCGTCACTTCTGAGCTCCCAGGTAGGCCCAGGGTCGTACGAGCAGCAGCGGCCAAACAGTCCGTCGCGGCCTGCGCCGGCACCATTTTTGACAAGTGGCGAGCGCCCCTGCGGCGCCGCCAGCGCGGACGCGGCCGCCGCCGGCCCCGGTCCCGGCTCCTACTCGCCAAATGTCAGCCTGACAGGCCGTGTCGCGCGCAACCGCGCCGCAGCCACAGCTTTCGCAGCGGGTTCCTGCGGCGCCGCAGGCTTTGCCACGCGCGCAGAGCGCTTCGGCAGCAACAGGGAAGCTGCAGAGAAGCCGGGCCCCGGCGCCTACCCGGATGGGTCCGCCGCGGCCTGGGTGAAAGGCTGTCGCCGCCGCCCGGCGACAACGCCGGCAGCGACGCGGCGGCGGCCGCGCAGCGGCTATGGCAGCGGCGTCCCGGCGACCCCGCCGACGATCCCGGCGCCACACCAGGCGTTCGGCTTCGAAATGGACGAGAAAACGGGCCGCCTCGTCATGCAGCCGCCGCCAGCGCCGGACGACGAGGCGGATGATGCTCCTGAAGCAGCTGGAGCCGGCGCCGCGGGCGGCGGTAGATGCACTCGTTGGTCCGCCAGCCGCGCCGCGCAGCGGCTGCCGCTGGCTCCCAGATCGGCCCTGCTCACACCGGCGCCGGGACGGTATGACCCGGGTTGCCTGACGGCAGCGGCAGCGGCGGCGTCGGCGTCGGCGGCGGGCACGAGCGCGTTTTTGTCTGCGGCGGAGCGCTTCCGAGGGCCGCCCGCGGCGGCGGCGGCCGTGGGGCCGGGCAGCTACAGCCCGCAGGCCACGGCACGCGGCAGGGGCGCTGCGTCGGCAGCGGCAGGCGGCGGGTGCGGCGGGTTCAGGGCCGCCGCGCCCGCGGCGGCCCATCAGCAGGCGTTTGGGCGGGCAGTGGGGCGGGCGGCGGTAGCGCCGTCGATTGCCGCTGGCAGCAGTGGGCCCGGGCCCGGGCCCGGTTCTTACAGTTTGGAAAAGGCCGGCGCATTCGCCAGGGTGCTGAAGGCCGGCGCACGTGTTGCGGCAGCGGCGGCGGTGCCGTGGGGCAGCGGCGGCAGTGGAGGGGCGGAGGGCGGCGGCGGCGGCGCGGCAGCGTGCGGTGGCTTCTCTTCTTCCGCGGCGCGATTTGCCCCAGCGAGCAGCGACGCGCCGGGCCCTGGTGGGTGGCCATGGCAGCGATGTCGTGCGTGGAGAGGGTTGGCAGCTTCGGAGGAGCTTCAGCTAAGGAGGACGCAGATCTCTGAAAACCCGTATCTGCTGCCCGCTGGCATTTGGACAGTAAAGGGCGGGCGCCGCCGTTGAAATGATATCTCTTATGGCCATGCTGGCCCCATCGTTCTGGCGCATGTTTATGTTGGCTGCCCACTGCCATTCACCACTAACCACCACTATCGTCCTGCCAACGGCCGCACGGCGGGCATGCCCGGCACACGCAGGGCAGTACGAGGCGCACGCGGCGGTGTCCATGCAGCGGGACGCCGCAGAGCGCGCCGCCGCCGCCAGCTGCCGCGGCACCTTCGGCTGCGCGGCCGCCCGGCCGGCTGGCGACTTTGTCGGCGCCGGCGCGGGCTCAGCGGCGGAGGCAGCGGTGGCGGCGGCGTACGCCGGCGGCGGCGGCGGCGGCGGCGGGGCCCCATCTTGCGACGACACGCTCTCCCCGCGGCAGCGGGCGGCGGCGCGGAAACCCACAGCCGCGTTTGCCTCGGCGACGCGGCGGTTCAGTGGCGGCGGTGGCGGCGCGGCGGCGGCGGCGCCCGATTATGCGACCTGGGACGGGCGGGAGGGCACCCTCTGGGGGGATCCCGCGCAGCTGGGACCCGGGGTGCACTTGCGGTTGGAGGACTGGGCCAAGCGCGGCAGCAGCAGCGGCGGCGGGCGCGGCCGCGCCGCCTCGGCGGGCGCGCTGCAGGGCGGGGGCGGCGCTGCAGCCGGGTTTGGCAGCGGCGTAGGTCGGCAGAGCCCTGTTTCAAAGGCGGCGGTGGCGGTGCCGGGTCCAGGTAGGGAAAAGGCTGGCGTTTTGCAACCTCGGATGGGGTGTCAAGATGAAAGGCAGGTTTTCGAGTCCAGACTTATGTGGGACCTGCCAACCCTGCATTCTGCAACCCACCGCCCTCACACGCCCCCGCCCATTCGCAGGCGCCTACAACGGCCCCCCCTCCGCCGCTGCCGTCCGCCCCGTCTCCATCCCCGGCCGCAACCGCGCTGCTTTTGACAGCCAGTCTCGTCGCTTCGCGCCCGCCGGGACGGCGGTGCCGGGGCCCGGGGCGTACGATTTGGGAGTGGGGTGGACCGCCCCCTCCTTCAACGTCACGCTCGATGCCTGATGGGCTGGTGGCACCGCTAATGATGAGCTGTCGCGCGGGTTGCACACCTTGCGGCGTCTGCCCTGCTTGTGGCCGTGTTTTTGGGCCGGCGTGGTACGGCGCCGTGGCTTTGCTGTGTGCAAGGGTGCAGTCATGGGCGTATTGATCACCGCCGCCATCACAGCACAGTACCGCAAGAGGTACCCTGGCCCAAGGCTACACCACGCAATAGCACCTGCCATCCTGGGACACCACTGTCAATCCAAGCCAAAGGGTTACCCGAGCAGTCCACAAGCCACGCAGCTCAGCACAGCGGCGCAAACAGAGATGTCATTGCTAGGGAGTGTCCAGGGAGTGGTTGTATGAATGAGGCCGAAAGCTCCCGAAGGAGTCTGTGCAAAAAAGCAAGGAATGGCCGCTTAGCGGAGCCAGGGGGGGCCGCGCCGCGTGCAGAACGGCAGGGAGCTGCTGACCAAGATCTCCGTCCCTTCGCAAATGTGAGGGTGGAGGTTTGACCAGAGGGCGACGGCAGTGTTCACGTGCAAAGGAAATGGGACCGGTAGTGTGTGCGACTGCACAGCTTTGTGAACTTCATATTGAGAAACTGATGCGAAAGGCAAGGCATGGCAGCCCTCAACGTTCATGCAGCGCGCGCTTTCCGCTGGAGTGAGCGGCGGCTGCGCGTGTGTTTGGAGCACATACAGGTGGCGTCTCTATCAGAAGCTTTCCTGTGCAAAATGAAAGGCAGGCACTTTCGTTCTGTCGCGTGTGGCTGCGCGCCCGCACACCGTCTCGTCGGGGGTGCTCAACAGGGGGTCCTCATAAGGAAGCGCCCCCCTGATGGAGGGCCGTACAACACCATTGGACGGGCGCCCCCTGATGAGCAAGCCTGCCTTTCTCTCCCGCGACATGCCCGTGCGCCCACCTTCAGGCGAGCGGCACGAAGAGGTGCAAGGCGTCACAGGGAAGCGAGGCACACAGGCTAGCGAGTAGTAACCCCCTCGGCTGCACAGATCACAGGCTGATGGCGGCAGTGCGCTCCGAGGCAAAAGCTTGGAGCTGCAATGGCGTGCGAAACGACGTCTTTGCCACTTGCACAGCCGAGCACCAGTTCAGGATCAATTGAGAATGTGCTGCATGTATGGCGCAGCACAAACAGAGAAGATGCGCTCGTGGCATGCAGCTGCACACGTGTGAAGGTTTTTGAAGGTCAACTGGTCCGCCGAAAGCGTACGCAGGTGCGAGATCACAAGGAGGGTGCACATAAGCCCTTCAGGAGGCCCGGGGCAGAATAAGAAGATAGCCGCCAGGCCTCGGCATGCCACGACGCAGAATTGCTTCAAAGCAGCAGCTGCCATGGCACCCAGCCGAGCAGGCGGGGGTGCATGTGCAAGTGCGAGTGTACGTGCGTGGGCAGGTGGTTGGGTGGAACCCTAGGTTTCGCGACGTGTTGGACGGATGTGTTGCATCCTGTGCTGTGCGTCGCAACGGCTCAGCTGTAAACCCACTTGGCCCTCCACGAGCCCTGGGAGGCACGCTGGCAGTTGAAGTCGAAGTCGTTTGCGCCACACACCCGCTGCGGCACCCAGTCAAAGTACAAGTCGCAGTAGGTGATGTCCGACTTTGCACCCGCCTTGACGCTCAGGCTGAACGCCGCGCAGGCCTTCTTCGAATTGGCCGACTTTGCGCAGGCGGCCTGGCAATCGGCCTGGCCCTGGCTTGCCTTGAGCTTGGTGGACTTTGAAGGCTTGGCGTACCAGCTGGCCGCAGCGTCCACTTGCACAAACGTGAGGGTGCCAGAGCCGCACGGCTTCTTGACCTTAGGGTTTCAGGGTAAGGGGCAGGGGGGACCAGCGGTTGAATTGCGGTCGCGCAATCGCTGCGACGCACGAGGTGCCGACGACGCGGCAGCAGGCGGCGCTCGGCCAAAGCTCGGGCGCAGTCAGGCTGCGACAAAAAACCGGCGGTGCGGGCGCGTTTGGCACCTGGCCCCTGCGTGTGGCAAGCTGGCAACACCTCCTTTGGTCGCGCGCCGGCTGGCTCACCGCGTCCATGAGCTGCGTGATATAGTTGTAGGCGTTGGGGACGGACGCGTACACCCCAGGGGAGCTGCGCAGGCCACACCCGTTCCTGCGCGGGACGGGCGCGGCCGCCGCCAACGGGCGCGGCGGCGCCCGGCACAAATGAGGGTCACACACAGCGCGAGCTGGGCCTTGTGGCTGTGCCGGGCTGTCAGGCATACTGAGCGTGCGCTCTACGGGTTGCGGGGCCTGGGCCCTGCTGCTGCTGGGTCGCGCGGCGCGGGCGGTTGAGCGGACCTGGTGGCTTGCCCACACTGCAGCTGCTGCTTTTGCAGTGTCTCTCGCCCCGCCCCCTCCGCCTGCCCACCCGTAAGAGGTGACGCCAACGACCCTGTCGTTTGCAGGGTCACCGGCCAGGGGGTTGGCCGCGTTGGCGGTGTTGAAGATCAGGGGGCCGCCGCTGTCGCCTGCGGGGACATAGGCAGAGGGGCACCCAGGATCAAGGGTGAGATGAAGGGCAGCTTCCAGGTCAAGGGAAACAAATGGGGATGACCAAGGAATTATCTGGAATTGCACGGCAACAGGAGACCCAGAGGTCACATCAGCGTTTTGGGGGGCAGCCAAAGGTGTCGCGCCTTTGGCTGCCCCAGGCCCCAAAAAACTAGTACTGCACTCGAGGCAACTGTGGCGCGTGCCGCCGCCGCCCGCCGCCCGCACCCACCTTGACACGTGTCCTGGACTGCCGTGCTGCCCCCGTCCATCCTCGGCAGTCCAAGGGCGCTGCGAGGGTCGGAGAGGCGCGCGGCACGGAATTTTCACGCGGGGCGGGCCATGGCGCGAGAGGGCGCACCTGCTCGGCACCCTTCCCGCCCGCCAACTGCGACAGCCGAGATGCGCGCAGCCGCAGCCGCCGCCGCGCCGCGGGCGCCCCGCCCCGCCTCGCGCCCGCGCTGGCAGCCGTCAGGACCCCCTTGCGCGCGGCATGCGGGCCCTGCTCCTTGGGGCCCAGGCCCGCCCACACTCTCACCAGATCCTGGTGGGCTCGCCCCGCGAGTCTGCGCAGCTGGGGTTGTACTTCAGCAGGCCGTACTGCAGCTTCTCAGGGGTGGCACCGTTGTAACCGCTCCTGTCGGCGCCCTGGGAAGTGGTGCCCCTGCGGGCGCGGGGTCGGGGTGTGGGGCGAGGGGACGCCGCAGGGTTGGGGCACAGGCGGGGCG